TGGACATGGAGAACTACAACCCATACAGCAGGGTTTCCCAACAAGGGTTGACCCTGCTTGGGGCTATGTTCCAAAACCTACCAGTTCGGACTTGAATCCTAGAGTTCAGCCAGAGCCCAGCTAGCTTCTGGAAAACAAAGCGTTGGGTAAATTGACTAGTAGCTCTTATGGTGCTGTTTTCTTTCTTGTTCCTGGCCAGAGGCAGTCCTGCAGTTCTGACCTTCTCTTTTCCGCTCTTCCCTGGAGGCAGGGATCATCCAGTAGCCCCCAAGGGAACTGGCCACCTAAGGTAAAATTGCCTGGGCAGAAAAATGTAGAGGGTAACAAACTTGTTAGTAATCAGAGTCTAAATCGCTCCTAATCCCGGCATGCATTACTCACTTCTGTCTGCCAGTCATGATCCACAGTAGTCCCTTCCTGGAAGCCTGCAGACTGTCTTAGAGTTCTTGAGAAGCACGCAGTGGGGAGTTAAAAATAAACCATGATAGAGTTCCTGGACTTCGAGGCTTATGCAATCTAGACCTAAAATATGGGGCCTGCCTTTGCTGGGGACTTTGGCTACCCATAAGGGAGGAGGAAATGAAAATATTTTATACTACTTTTTAATTGTTCATATATTACCATAGGGATTTATGAAAGTGTCCGGAGGCTGGTACACATGCACTGGAGAGACCACATGCTTTTATGTGGCAGAGAGCTGTTTTTTTTTTTTTTTTTTTTTTTTTTTCCTTCAAGCTAGTTTTCACTTTTGTAGGCTGGGAAAATCCCCTTGGTACTGGGCTCATGACGCTCTACCCACTAAGTGTGTATCATTTCAACAGTATGCCCCCAGTAAAGCTCTGGGGTTCCTTGTATACCACAGACTCTAAGAGGTTTATTTATAATGCAGGAAAAGCATCTAAGGTTTGGTTGTCTTGTATTAAGGCTTTTAAAACAAAGACTTTATATGGTATGTATATTTGTTCATGTGTATGCTTCTGCACCTATGTGAAGAAGTCACTCTTCAGGAGCCCTCCTCTCCGTCTTATTTTTTTGATACAAGGTCTTTCACTGGGACCCTGGACTAGGCTAGCTGGTTAGCCAGTGAGCCCCAGGAACCTCCTGTCTCCACCTCCCCAGAGCTGCAATTACAAAGCATGAACTATTGTGCCTATCTTTTTACATGGGTGCTGAAGATGGAACTCTGGTTCTCATGTGTGTGCAGTAAGCACTTTATAGACTTATTTATAATTTCAATAACTGAGAATCAAGTTATTTTTTATTAGCAGGTGCTGACATTCTAGCTCAGCTGTATTTAGAAGAGAAAATTATTACAAAATCTGTTAAACATGTACCACCAAAGCCTATTCAAAATGTTAGCTATGCTATGAAATCAAGAAAAGTTGAAATAAAAAGCTTCAAATATCAAAGATTTCAAATAGTCTCTGGTTTCTATGTATACATTTATCCTTTCCATCCATCACAGCCTGTCACATTATCATCATCATTATAGCAGGGAGATACATACTTATTAGCAATGACTACCAAATGATTATTACCAATGCATGAAGTCTTGACAATGCATTGAGATGGTACAAACAGTAAAATCAGCTCTAGTGACTATTAGCATATACTGAACTGTATAGTATCACAACCTGATACAGCTAATATGCAAGTTATTACACAGTGCTAGGTAGGGTAACAAATTTCTAAGTATTTTCAAATAGACATTGGATCTTTTGATACTCTCAGCTACTTTGTGAGACTGGTATTATGATCATGTGCTTTTTACATGGGAAACAGGTTTAGCCAGATTAAGCAGCTTGCCCCAAATCCCAAGGCCATCGTTAACTAGAGCCATGGCCTAACTCCAGCTTGAATTCATCTACTTTGTAGCATGTGCTTATAATCCTTTTGTGATTGGCACTTGTCCTTTGATTCTCATTAAAGAAAAAATGGAGGCACACAGAAAGAACACGTTCATTAAAGAACTATGAAGAGCTAGTAGGGTATAATAAAGTTATGGATTTTAAGTAGAATCAGAGCTGTTTGGCAATAAAATACACTGTCTTCATGAGGATTACTATTTGCAGAGAGATGGGAGGGCTGGTGAGAGGCAAGGGGACTAAGGAAAGGACAGAGAAGGCCAAGGTTTTACATTTTCAGAATTCTCCTGGGGGAAAAAAGGTCCATCTACAGAGGAGAAAGGGGACCTACCACATCAGAAATGTCAAAGAATAAGTAAGCAAGTTTATGAGTGACCTTCAAGAATTGTTTTAGGGCCAGTGAGATAGCTCAGTGAGTAAAGGTACTTGCTACAAAATTGGAGACCTGAGATCACTCTCCTGAACCCACATGGGAGAATAACTGACTCCCGCAAGTAGTCCTCTGACCTCCAACCATGTGCCCTGGGACACATGGGCCCACACACATACACACAAATACTTGTAAAAACAAATTTTAAACAAGAATCATTTTAGTAGGTCTGGCAAATGAATACCTTAATTCATTAAAATCTTACCGTATTCTCATAGATGCCACACTGTGTTATGCTAGATACATGGAGTACAGGCATGATGTCTATTATGAAACCAACTGCTGAATGTCAAGCAGTCTAATACCATGATCAGAACTATGCAGGGATTATTATAAAGCACTGAACTGGAACACTGGTGTATATCTTCAGTATTAAGAGTGGGGTGAAAAGAAATATCTGCAGGGAGAAGACATTTAACCAAACTGATGAACTCTTATTTTATATAAAAGCTTGGCGTAGCTTTATTATTTTTATACATACACACATTATATACAATGCACACATTATCAACAATGTATGTTGATACATAAATATCAACATACACATATACTATCATTTTTGAGACTAGTATTTGAAAACTATGTTGCTCAGGCTAGCCTCAAACTCCAAGCCTCACACAACCCTCTAATTCAGCCTCTCCAGAAGCTGGGTGAGCAGGTGAGCCTGCTCACAGGGCCTCATTTTATTTTTTTTTTTTCCGGTTTAAAACCTTAATTCCTGCTGGGTGTGGTGGTCCACACCTATAATCTTAGCATCCAGTAAGCCGAGAAGGGTGGATCTCTGTGAGTTCAAGGTCAGCTAGCATAGTTAGATCCTGTCTCAAGGCAAAAGAAAATCCCCTAAGCAAAATTAACAACAAAACAAAACTTCCAAACTTAATTCTTGGGGCTGGAGAGATGGCTCAACAGTTAAGAGCACTACTACCTTCGCAGAGGATGCAGCTTCCATTTCCACCACCCACATAATGCCTCACGAGCATCTGTAACTCCAATTCCAGAAGATCCTACACCCTCTTTTGGCTTCTGTGGGCATCAGGCATATATGCGGTACACATACGTATTTGTAGGCCACACACACACACACACACACACACACACACAAGATTAAAAGAAAAACCCAACCCTCCTTTACCCTTTGAAAGAGGGACAAAACTCATTATATAAATGATGCACTGAAAATACAAGGGCAAAAGTGACAACATATTCATTTCTAGAATACCGTACAAAACACTTGCTATTATTTCCAGGCAGACAATGCTTGAGGTAGCTTCAAAATGGGCGTTAGAGCCTGGTCTAAAGCACCACACACCACGAAGACAGCATTGAGTATTCTGTTAAATTCCATTTAGAAAAATCACAGGATTTTAAAGCTGCAATTGCCCTGGGGATTTAATGCATACATTCTAGGTAAGAAAGCTAAAGTCCAAAAAGGTAAAATAATGTACTGTTTGCATAGTTTGTCTTGGTGTTGGGCCTATAGGCCAGGTCTCAAGGAGGATCTTGCTTTCTTTCCGTCTCAGCTTTTGCTCTACTGTTGAAGGTCAAGGCTGGATTATCATTAGGTCTTCAAATAATTTTGCACTTCCTATTAAGTTGGCTTCAGCCTTCTCGCCATCCTGCTTCCGTACTATGTTTTAAGCATTATCATTGCTGAATTTGATTTTTGTTTTAATCAGTGTATGCAACACCAACAAAAGGCACACATAAATTCAACTGCCTCAGATGCGGGGAACATCCGCACATCCCGAAGCCAGGGAAAGATGCAGGAGACACTTGCTTTTCTCCAGCGTCCGCAGGCCACGTGCAGGAGGAAGGGCCGCCTTCTGATTGGCGCCCTAGGGGCTAGGTCCTTCCAATCCTTGTAGATCCCTAGATGGAGGGGAGGTGGTAGCGGTGGCGGCGGCGCGGAGGCAGCCAGCCGGGCCCGGAGGGCGGGGTCAGCGGCCTGTCTGTCACCACGTCTGAGGACCGCAGCACCTACCACATTACTGTACCTTGGCTAGGCGGGGCCAAGGCGGGCAGGACTGGGACTGAGGAGGCGGAGACAGGCAAGTGGAAGCCAATCTCCGGGCAGGCATGAAAGGGCGGGGCCACAGCACGCGACCCAAACACCAGGGCCCTGCAGAGCCTGGGGCAGCGGAGCTGCACGGCCTCCCACTGGGAGCGCCGGGACCCTCCCTTTGGCCCCGCCCCCAGTCTAGGTCCCTGGCCCCCAGGCCTAGGCTCCCGCTCCAGGCCTAGGTCTTGGCCTCACGGTCCCACCCTAGGCCCCCAGGGCGTGCCCCCGTCCGCGGCCCAGGCGTGGGTTCCCAGCTCCAGGTGCTCCCCGCCCCAGACCGCCGCAGCCCCTTCAGCTCAGGGCCGTGGGGCGAACGTAGCCGGGAAGCCCGCGCCTCGTTCCTTCTCGCGCGCCGCCCGTTTCCCTTTCTCCGTTAATAACAGCTGGGCGCAGGGAGGTGGCCCCGGCGGAGTCTGGGCGGGCACCTCCCACTCAGCCGCGAGCCGCCGTGGGAGCCGGAGGATGGCGGCGGTAGCAGCGGCCGCCCGGGAGGAGGCGTTGCCGAGGCCGGGGGTGCAGAGCGCGGCGGCAGCAGCAGAGAGCGGCAGCGGCCCGTCGTGGCACACCAGAACCGAAAGCAGCGCTCGCCATACGGCCACCTGAGCGGCGCTCCGCCCGGGCCTCCTTTTCCTCGCCCCGTCAGCCAGCCGCGCCGCGGGCCCGAGCACTAGAGCGCACCGGGGTCCTGGACGTGCGAGGTCCGTTGAGGGCCGGCGGCGCCTCGGCCCTGCCTTCCGTCTGCGCTCGCTTGCGGCCTCGCGGCGCTCGGCACGGGCCGGGCCCGGGATAGGGCGGACATGGGCGCCAAGCAGAGCGGCCCGGCCGCCGCTAACGGCCGCACCCGCGCCTACTCTGGCTCTGACCTCCCTTCCAGCAGCGGCGGTGGAGCCAATGGAACTGCGGGCGGCGGCGGGGTTCGGGCCGCGGCGCCGGGCAGGTTTCCGGCTTCGGTGTCCGGCGCGCAGCAGCCCAGCGCCTCCGGCGGCGTGGCGACGGCCTCGGCCCCGGC